AATGTCCATCATATGACGGACGAAAGCTTAGCACCTTTTCACCGGAATCGAAGGAGATTGCCTCGGAAACAGGTGCTGAGCTTTCGTCCGTCATATGACGGACGAAAGCTTAGCACGTTTTCACCGGAATCGAAGGAGATTGCCTCGGAAACAGCTTCAGCATGAATTTTCCAGTAAGGCCAATCCGCCGTCGTCTTCTGGTGGAACCGACCTTCGAATCTCTTCATCCAACCCTTCCACTCGAAATGGAAGTAAGCTCAACAATCCTGGTGAAAGTTGGTGTGTGGCTATGGCCTCAGCGAGGCGACGCCAGGAGGCGGAGGAGAATACCTCAATAGCTGCTTTTTGGCGTGTTGACAACGCGCATAGCCTGATCTTCTGTATGGCCGGTGTCGACAAGAGGCAGGGGAGCACATCAATCCTACCGACAGACGAGCAGAAAGCGAATGGGTCGTGCTTCCCAAGGGTCGCACCAACCCGGCTCCTTTGGAACCTGGTCTAGGCGAATATGCGCTGAATCAGGGAGGAGTCAACCGTGTTTCGAGGCCAGGCTCCACAGACTGGGTATGCGCAAGATGATCGACACGACACGCCGTCGGTGGGCAGATTGATAACGCGTCGAACGCGTTTCTGGGGTAAAAAGTCAAGCTGGGAACCAGGGACGCAAAGGTGTGATACGAGAGGGATGGCTCGAGAGCTTTATGGTCTTTGGGTGCCGGAACAGAACAAACCTCGCATGTAGAATGCGTGGGCTCACCTGAAGTCGCACACACGTGTCCGAGTCAACTTGTGCCACGCAAGCTGACGGAAACTTAGCAATCAGCCTTTCTAGAACTGGACGAGTGGAGGGCCATCGCGCTCCTCTCAGCCGCCTAAAGGGTCTCAAGCTCTTTACGAATGTGTTGTTGGAGTAGCTTTCTGCCCGTTTGGAGAGGCGATTTGTAAGTTGGCCTCACCGGAAGCTGTCTTCATGTTTTAATGAATCACCGTCAAGCCTGGTGTCCTGCTCTGACGATCTCCGTCACACGACGGACGAAAGCTATGCAACGATTCGTCGGGGTAGCAGGCCCGTGCGCCGATGACCTATTCACACAAATCAACAATCCCCTACAGCTTGCGGTGAGGCCAAGTTACGAATTCCTTACACTCGCCTCTTCAAACGAAGTGAAGGTAGTATCAGATGTATTCACACAATTGCGTTTAAGGTGATGAAGGACTGGTAGAAGAATTTTCCCACAATGACATGAGTAGAGCTGACGTCTCCATTGAATTTCACACAGCCTTGCTTTCCCAAAAGTGTCGAACTCCCATTCTGCACTGTCACGGTTCGACTCCCGCTGGAGGTGTTGATAAGACCGATGCCAGGTCAAAACTGCAGTCCACTGGTGCTTGGATGAGAACAACTTTTGGGAAAGCAAGGATATGTGAAATTGAACGTAAACGTCAGCTCTACTCATATCATTGTGGGAAAATTCTACTACCAGACCTTCATCACCTTAAACGGAATTGGGTGAATACATCTCATACTACTGATTTACTGGTAGTCTCGAAACAATACGCAAACACGAAAAATGAAATGAAAGTACTCCAAAATCAGTCGATTAAGGGATTCTACGAAAGCCTGTCTTTATACACATTTTTGCAAGTGTGCATAGAGTACTGAAGTCGAGTGTAGAAAAGTGCAGTAGAATGGCGACGTGTGGGGCAAACAGGTCGGCGTCGTCTGACCACACAAATGGTCAATGTTTCTGTGATTATATTAAATATGGCTGAAAGCGCCCGGGTTGACTGAATGCAAGCAAGTCAAAGAGTGTAAATTGTCGTCGTGGCTTGCATTTCGTGTCAAAAGCTACTTGGAAGAGATCCGCGGAGGACGTCGAAAGAGTCAGAAGCCGCCCAAAAAAGCATTCAGTTAAGAAAATGAGCCATCAGCAAGCAACCCTATTGTTCTACCCAATTTTTCGATGCCAACGTGGTGTCTCATGATTGACTTGACCACTTCATACTCGGCCCACATGCCTACCGATGAGTGGAGCCGGTGCATGCAGGGCGTGAATGGCGTGTTCGATGTCGCCA